TAAAATTTATAAATTAGGCACAGTAACAGACTAACAATGATAATAAAATAGAACAATTATAGCAATATAATGTAATTAAAGTTATATGAATGTGATTTCTCTCTCTTTCTCTAAATACTGTAATATTTGTGGACCATAGTTGACCACAGGTAACTAAAACTGCAGAATGCAAACAAACTGCAGAAAGTGAAACCATGGATAATTTGGCGGAGGGGGGAAACTACTGTATTGCTGAATAACAACAATAACTCATGTCTCACAATTCTATGGGTTAACTAAGTGGTTCTTCTGCTGGCTTAGCCCTGGCTGAACTCACTGAACTTCTCTTAGCCAGTGAGTCAACTCAGATGGTTGGAATAGCTCGGGACAGCTAGACTTCATGTGGTCTTTCATCCCAGTTATACTCACAGCACAATCAGTGAGCTCCGAGTTTCAAGAGATCAAGCCCCCTGTGCAAATTATAATCAAACTTCTGCTTGTGTCTTGTTTGCTGGCATCCCATTGGACAAAATAAGTCTCAAGCTAATCTTATGTGGAAAGTTTATGCAGAAAGAGACTCCACATAGTTGTGGATACTGGGAAATATCATTCATTGAGTGGCCATTATTGTATTCATATATTTGGTTTACATTGTAAATATATCATAATTGATTAAGTATTTGCATGTCTACCATTCTGGACGAAGCTTCTTGAAGGTAGATGTCACATCAAATATTCCCAGAACCTAGCAAAATGATTGGCATTGCCTTATGTGCTCAATAAATGTCTGTAACATACAAATTCTAAGTTCCATATATTGTGTAAGTCATTAGCATAATATGGGTTATGTACTCATGATTTTTTTTAAATAAATTAATTTTATGTTAGTAATTGCATGATATACTTGACTCTAATTCTTGCAAAAATATTGTACATTTGAAGGGACTAAGGCCTAGAGGGATTGAGTAAATTGTCCAGGCTCCTATGGTAAGTGATAAAGGCAGAATTTGATAATAAGTCTCATTATAAGTTGGCATTTTCTGTATTACACTAATATTTCTTCTAGAATACTGGAGTTATGATGTCCAATATGGTAGCCACTAGAAACAATTGGCTACTAAGCAGTTAAAATGTAGGTAACCTAAACAGATATGCTATAAGTATAAAGTACACTCTGGACTTCAGATTTCATATATGAACAGAATGTGAAAAATTAATATTTTTATATTGTTTACGTGTTGATAATATTTTGTGATACATTAAGCTAAATAAAAGTTGCCATTAACATTAATTTCCCTGGTTTCATTTTGCTTCTTTTAATGCAAAACTAGTAAAATATGTTAAATTATAGCTATGATTTATTTACATTATGTTTCTATTAGAGCTGTTCTAGAGGTTATGTTAAGTTAGAGAAGGGACACATCCACACACAAAAACAAACAATAATAAAAAGAAGGATATGATCACTGTTTTAAGAGAGTAATGGGTAAAGTGCTTCAGGATTGTATTGAAAAGGAAAATCATTCAGATGGGAATAGGGGAAGACAAAATTGATTTGAAGAATAGGTTTGACTTCAGTGAAAGGTAAGATGAAATTGCTTTTAAGTAAGAAAAACAGAATTATCAAGTGTAGAAGAGGAGCAAGGAGAATGGTAAGAAGTCAAAATAGTGTTTTAGAAATGTAATTTAGGTGTGAAGGAACCATGGGAGTTAAATTAGGAAAGATATATTGGGGACATTCAAAATCAGGGAGATTTTCTTCTGAAAGCTGTTGAAATTATTGAAGTTTTTGTTTGTTTATTTTCTTTTAAACAGGAAGTGATTAAAACTTTTGGAGTGTATCAGATGCATTAGAAGACAAAGAGAAAAGAGATAGAAACACTAGAAGACATGTGTATTAGTAAACGGAGCAGTGATAAAAATTTGAACTAGGATTCCAGCAGTAAGAATGAAAATTAGGAGAGCATGACTGAGTGTTACAATAGTTTTGCCATGGATAGTGTTCAGACAGTTGGCTAAGGGAAGGACCAATGGAGAGCATTAGGATTGATAAAGGAATAATTAAGATTCATAGCATTCTTTATGCCCTTCCCCAAAGCTGGTACCTCCTCATTTTTCCTCATGTTAATAAGTGGATCACCACCAAAATACCTGTATCTTTAATATTTTTCTTTTCCTCATTCTTCACCTCTGGTTTATCCATAAACTCTGATTGCTATTTACCTCTGAAATTTATATATGCCCTAGTTCAAGCCACTCACCTCTTTCCTTGACCACTATAAAAGTCTTGTAACTGATCTCTTTCTCTCTCTCTTTCCTCTTGTCCTACCATAATCTGATTTCTTCCTAGAGGCAAGAGAGATTTTCTTCTGAAATTTTCTTCCAGTTCCCCTTCACATAGCCTCACTGGCTCTCTCTTTCATCATGTTCTACAGGGTCCTACATGATCTGACCTACCTCTCTGACCTCATCTCACTTTACTCTCTCCTTTATCACACTTGCTTTCACCATGCTGACTTTATTTTTGTCATTTTTTTGCATATTCTTATTTTTTTCCTTCCTTGGGCTTTTGCTCTTGCTTTTTATCTAGATTGTTCTTTCTCTGCTTTTCAAATGACTGGATCCTTCTACTCCTTCAAATCATAGCATCAAGTCACTTCCTCAGGGATGTCCTTCCTGACTACTCAGTCTTAAATACCCTGACAGTGAAGTCTCTCTATTGTATTATCCTGTTATTTCATACTAGTTAATATTGCTATCTGAAATTATTTTTATCATCATCGTTAGTACTACTGTTATTATTATTGTGTACCAACATATTTTCTTTCCCTTCCACTAAGCTGAGAACAGGAACCTGTCTGTCTTATTCATCTTTTTGTCTTGAACATCATCCACAGTGTTTAGCCAAAAGCTGACACTCACTTAATACTTGTTGAATGGACAAAGTTTTTGCCACCTGTATTACTACTCTCTTTTATAGGATATCACTTACATTAAGAAGGAAAAGGGATGTGAATTCATTTATTTAGTGTTTTATTAGTTACAAGAGATATTTGTCTATGGGGAGAGAACAATACCCACTACCACCGCAAGTCTTAGGACTATAGCCACTATATTAAGCACATGATTTGATGAAGACATTAAAAACTCTATTTATCCAATTCATGGGCATTTAAATTCCAAATAGTTTTAAAAATATTAATGCAGATATTTAAATAACCAAAAATTTGGGTTGGAAATGAAAAACAGCTGAATTTTTGAAATGGATACATTACATAATGTTTCTTTTTGAAATGGAAACATTACAAACATTTACAAATAGATAGTTAAAGCAATATTTAGGATATTCGATTCAGTTGGCTCTGATTGTTATTTTCCTTTTGTTAGTGAGGGACATCAGAAGTAAAATCTAATCCTAATTAAATAATATGTCAACAAGCACTGTTTATATACATATAATGCTGGAGGTTTGAAAAGGTTAGTATTCTCACAGTAAGAAAAATCATTAAGTTCTAAAGGTCATTTAGATTATTTTTATGGGAGATTTTTTGTATGTTCTTCACCTGTTGAGTTACCATTATTATTGATAATCCTTTTCAGATTATGAAGAAACAGTTTGTGCTCTCAGTATTTATTCATGCTAATATTTACTTTGTAAAATGTGCTTCTTACAGGAGTATAAATAGTCTCTGAAAAGGACACTGACAACTTGAAAGCAAAATGAAGTTCTTTCTGTTGCTTTCAGCCATTGGGTTCTGCTGGGCTCAGTATTCCCCACACACTCAAGAAGGACGGACATCTATAGTCCATCTGTTTGAGTGGCGCTGGGTTGATATTGCTCTTGAGTGTGAGCGATACTTAGCTCCCAATGGATTTGGAGGTGTTCAGGTAGGTATTGTTTATAGTATAAATTGCTGCATTCACTGTGCTTGTAGTAAACGGTTTTCTGATCAGTGTCTGTCAAGCTGAAGCACCATTTTATAATACTTCATATATAAGTACTCTAAATAAAACAGTTTTCTGCAGAAGAAACAATTAAGTATTGTTGGCAATTTTATATGTTGTTTCTGATATCTTTTTTCAACAGGAAATTTCCAATGTGCCATTAATATTTTCAAGTGGTTGGAAAGAAACGTAGTTGCATATACAAGGATTCAAAAATAATTTTATGTTATCAATTAGTTTCTAGAACATCTAATGATATAAAGAAGACATAATTTGATGCTTATTAATATTGCTTTATTTATAGGTCTCTCCACCCAATGAAAATATTGTAATTGACAACCCTTTTAGACCTTGGTGGGAAAGATACCAACCAGTTAGCTATAAATTATGCACAAGATCTGGAAATGAAGATGAATTCAAAAACATGGTGACTAGATGTAACAATGTTGGTGTAAGTGAATTCAAATTTCCTTTAAAATTTTTGTATAGTAATCTCTCTCTCCTGTTTTTTGCTTCTTTTGGGCAGAAAGTTTTCCATATTTTAAATTATTTCATCTTACATCATACCTTAGTTATAACTCAAAATGAACTATTGCTTTATGTTCAACTTTTGTAAATATTTGTGTATGTGCCATTTATCTACTAAAGAAGAGATAACTTAAAATTTAAAGCAGAATTTACTTATTAAAGCAAAACATCAACTTTTAACCCTTATAACTATACACATTTCCTGGAAACACTTTTCTGGTTAGGAATTGAAAATTCCAGTTAAAGTATTTGCTATCATTTTTATGTGACTTATGCCTCCACACATAATTCCTGTGTCTTCTTCCCCATAGGTTTTTCAATGGTGAATAGCTATTTTCTCATTTTAACAAGGAACATAAATGAGAGACTAATATCTACCTTCCTCTCTTCAGATGCTAAGTAGACAGTAGGAGCTAAGTGCTTCTTTCTCCTGGTGACCCACTGAAATTTCACCAACTAATAATCTCTTCTGCCTCAACTGATTTTTACCTCTCCAAAAGGCTCTTTGCATCTATTTATATTTATGGTGGTTTCTGGTTCTCTTAATGTATCATTCCTGTGAATATTTGACCAAGTGTCTAGAATGGATATAGGTTTTCAGCTCACATTAGTTTCCTTTCATACTTGACCTTTGGTATTTTAGGAAAATAGGTTATAAAAAGGAAATATTTTGGAATTTAATTAACATGCTTTAAACTTTAATAAATAATTCTTTAGATTTCTATCTTTCTATAAGTCAAACTGAAGTAGAAAATTTGTTTTTCAGGTCCGTATTTATGTGGATGCTGTAATTAATCATATGACTGGTAGTGGTGCAAGTGCAGGAACAGGCAGTACTTGTGGAAGTTACTTCGACCCTGGAAATAGGAATTTTCCAGAAGTCCCTTATTCTGCCTGGGACTTTAATGACGGTAAATGTCAAACTGCAAGTGGAGAAGTTGAGAACTATAATGATGCTTATCAGGTAATTTTTTTAATAATAGTGATCTGAATAAAGAGCTATCTATGCTTTTAATTATAGATATGTAGCATATTGAATTCCATTTTTAAGTGTTAGTTTAGACCCCTCCGGAAAACAGCTTACCAGGTCTGACTGCTTAAAAATAGGAACTCAAATCAATATTTAAAAATTTTCCCCTAATCAATTAAAAAGCTATCTACTTTATTTCCTATATTCTCCATTTTATACTAGAAAATATTTCAAAGATATGTCCATAGTAGAATGTCAATATTCCAAGAGCCCAGTGCAAAAAAGGAACTATAGAAATTTCTATTGATGAATAAGTGAACGAATGGTCCAATGAATTCTCAGGTGAAAGATGATGTTTTATGAATCAGTCACAAAATTTTCACCTCAACAGGTCAGAGATTGTCGTCTGGTTGGTCTTCTTGATCTTGCACTGGAGAAAGATTACGTGCGTTCCATGATTGCTGACTATCTGAACCATCTCATTGATATTGGTGTAGCAGGTTTCAGACTTGATGCTGCCAAGCACATGTGGCCTGGAGACATAAAGGAAGTTTTGGATAAA